GCTGAGGTGACTGCAGCAGGTCATCTGGCACCAGCACATTAACAGCAAACCATGCTCCCGGCCCTGGTGTCTGCTGTGCTCTACAGAATGGGAAAAGCTTCTCCTCCTACCATTGACACACTTGATGAGACCCCTGTAAACATCCTTCAGCATAGAAAATTCTGAAAACGTGACTTACCTGAAAAATCTTCAATAATGTTTTCATGTAAACCTTGCGGATACCAAAGGAGACTCCAAAAATTGCTGGCACAATGATGAAAACCAGGAGTAGAGTGAAGAGGACAGTTATGGAGATTCCCAAGAGATTGACAACTAGGCTGTCAAAGGGGAGCAGGAGGAACATGATGAAGGGCCCAAGCAAGGCTGGTGCCCTGCGACCCTGCAGCCAAACAGGAAGGCTGCCTGCAGCAGTTAAACAGTCCTCCTACTATTCAGTAATAGTCTCACACGTGCAATGAGTCCGCTGTTGCTCACAGACCCCATTCCAAAGTTCACATCCTTTTTGGGATCTGTGAGAGAGGGAACGAACAGTATCTGGGAGAGAGGTTGGGAAAACAAGCAAATACTGCCAGGAGTCCCAAACAGTTCAAACAGTGCACGTTAAGGAGCTCAAAGAAGATGGAGCATGCAGGCAGGTTCCTCCATGGGTTTGCAGTGAGTACCGTCCTGGAACAGCTGTGTGAATACAGGCTCTCCCACAGCACTGCTGAGCAAATCCTCCTGAGGAGCAGCTTCTGAAGACACTGGCAGTAGAATTCGTCTCAGGCTGCTGAGAGTATGCAGAGTCTCCTCACGGGGACAAGATGAAGTCCATCTCTGAGCCTGCATTGGAGGAAATTGAGGGAGTTGGCACTTGCAGGAGCCTACTGTATGTGGAGCTATTATTGCTCCTTCCAGGATACAGAGACTGGCTCAGATCCTCACATGACGCCTGTAACAAGTGTAATTCCAGAGGCTTCTGGCATCCACTCACGTTGAAGGGTTGTAACTGACTCAAATGAAACCCGTGTCCCTGGAAAGCTCTCCAAACAGTGCGTTGGCTTCTTGGTAGACCAGGCACTCACATGTCACCAGCACTAGAGGAGGAAAGAGAAACTGAAGTCAGGCAAGTCACGCAACTCAGAGACGTCAATGGCAGGAGGCCAAGGACAGTGGGTGCTGAAAGCATGAGGGCATTGATCAGGCTGAGGACACATCACTCCAAGCAGCTCCTGAGACACTTCAGACTCAGACTGGTACTCCAGCTTCCATTTCACACCATCAGACACACATCCTGTGCCTTCCTCCCAGACAAACCTTGTACTGAGTGGCCCCGACCAGAGCCACTCCAGAGCACAGGATGTTGAGTGTATCTAAACAGGTCCCAAGTACAGGAAAAGAGCCAATGAAGTAGCAGAAAACCCTTCTGAATGACAGAGCCCTCAGCACCCCTCTCATTTCAGAGGAATCCAAGCTCAGGGAGCCAGCAGTGTGCTGGATTCCTGGGAAGGAATCACTTCCTCTACCCCTGTACACAGGTTCCTGGGGTGTGGCTCACCTACTGCTTACACAGGGCAGCTTTACAAACAATGCATGACAGGAAGTTAGCCCAAGGGGAGAATTACTGCTGATGATTAGCCACGGTGGAACTCACCGGGACACGGGGAACAGTCAAAGGTCAACACAGCACTGCAGCCCTGGCAGGGGATGACCTGGCAGAACAGGTCTGCGTGAGGCCAGCACTTGGAGCGACTGCTGAGGGGAGAACTCCCTCCAGATATTATCTCTGCCTGCTGCCAGAGGGCACGGTGTCAGCCTAAGGGTGGGATGGAACAGTGCTTGAACTCAGAGGATGAAGGTGGGAATACCATTCTGCTCCCCTGTACGTAGTGTTGCAGCTGCTGGCACTGCAGCGTTACTGCTTCAGAAGAACACAAACTGCACCTCTACAAACCTTCACAAACTATTCCCTGTCAGCAGCAGTTCTGCAGCCACAAACGTGAACGTCCTTCGGCCACAGCTCTCACTGTCGGCCCGAACCCGGCAGCTCTCGGCCCCGCCAGCCGTTCAGTTCCACGTTTCAGCTCCGCGTCCCCGCCGTGCCCCGGCCCTACGAGCCAGCGGCCACGTGCGGTGCCCGATTCAACCCGACAGCAGCAGCCACGGTCCGGCAGCCCCCGATCTCTCGTGGAGCCCCGCGCTCGGGGTCCGAAGCCGCGCCCTTCCACCCAACGCGGTCAGCCGAGGCCGGGAGCGCTTTGTTACGGCCTACGGGACACCGCCCACGGGCGCGGCGAATCCGGGCAGGGCCGGGACCGGCGGCGACCTTCGTGCGCGCTGGCAGCGGCTGCCGGTGCGGAGGGGCGGGGTGCTCCCACCGCGAGCGGAGCGGTACGGCGCGGCCCGCGGCACGGAGGAGGCCGCGCTTCGTAACGCGGAAGCCGGTTAACGGTCCGCGGGCGGCTCGGGCCCGGCCCCGTCTCTCCGCTTCCTCCGCCGATCGCAGCGGGACGGAGATCGCGGTCGGGACCGGAGCGGGACGGCGGGGGAGGAGGAGGAGGAGCGCCGGGCCGGGCTGCTCGCGCACTCACCTGCCTCCACTGCCGCCGGGCCCGGCTCCGCCCCCGCCACGCACCGTGCGCGCCGCGCCTCCGCCCCGCGTGCGCTGACGTCATCACGCTTCTCGCGGGGCCGCGCACGCAGCACCGCCGCAAACCTCCCTGTCGGCAGGGGGCGCAGCACGCCGCCGAAATGAGAGGCGAACTCGCACTGTCCCGTCACTTTATTGCCTCCCGTAACAGCGCGGCCGGAGCGAGGCGCACCGAGCGGCCTCGTCACGCCCTCGTCCCGCCCGCAGCATCCGCCTCCGCTCCGCCGGAACGGCCCCGAGCCGCTCCCTCCGCCTGCACGAAGGCACTTGTCTCGCTGATCGCGCCACAGGCTCGCAGCGGAGCACATGCGGGGTCGGCCGGCTTCACGCCGCTGTCACTCCTGTTCTCTCGTGCTAGCGCTGCCTGGAGGATGGACCGGCAGGAATTTCACCGAAACGGCTCCCAGCTGAAGATGGAGAGGGGCCCAGCTTTGAAGCCCAGCAGCTGCTTGTACCGTAGCCAGGCAGGCTCGTGGAGAAGCTAACAGAGCTGGGAGCAGCACTTGATGCTGTTGTCCCCATTCTCCCCCAGGGCCCTTGTACCAAAGCAGGGACATAAGGGACCTACAGCCCCCTCCAAAGCACCTCCCTACCAGTACGGGGCTTGGGGCTCTGAATGGCGCCAGCTCTGCAGGTGAGAAAGGACGAGGGCAGCAGCCCGGGAGGTGCCAAGGTGCTCCCGGGCCCCCTTGGCACTCTTCACAGCATGGGAGGGTGAGCGTATGACACCCAAGTGGTAGATCCTGTAGTTCTTCCCGTGGTTATTGTCCCAGTGGGTCTTCTGCCCACAGCGGAAGGAGATGCAGAACTCTGTGGCCTTGCAGGAGCTAGAGGGCTTGGGAAGGGAGAGCTCAAAGGAGAAGGTGTCCATGTCTGCTGAGCCATACGTGCTATGCATGTACTGGCAGGAGATGTCTCGGAAGCTCTTCCAGCCGTCAAAGGTGATGCGGATGATGACTTTCTTCTCGTACTCAATGTTTCTGACCTTCACTGTCCCAGACAGGGCATGGTCCTGGATCAGGCAGCTCTCCAGGCAGACCAGGTTGCTGAGCAGGCGGCTGCGGAAGGTTGCATAGTCTGCAGAGGGTTGTGGGAAGTCCAGCACATACCTGCCTGCTTCTGAGTGCGAGTCCCGAAACCTGGGCCGGAAGCAGGTGAGGTCTGACAGGGCATGCTGCAAATCACAGAGGTCCTCCTCGATCTTTGAGAAGAATCGGACAGCTGTCAATGAGAGCCCCTTCATGTCAGCAAATACCACCCTCTTCTTCTTCTGACTTTTGGAGCTCTTGGTGTTCTCCCTCCACTCAGGCTCATGATCTGCGCTCTGTTTCAGGTTCAGACAGGAGCGGAGCGGTTTGCGTCCCCGGCTGCCCCGGAGCTCCTCATAAGAATTCAGTAGCTTGCGAATAGGGGGTGAACGGCTCAGGCAGAGCCGCATGGCCAGGTCCACAGGCATAGCTGGGGGAGTGACAGCTCGCGTGCTATAGACCTGGAAAAGCCTAGAGGTGAAGAGGAGTCAGGCAATGAGCCCTGGCTGCCGGACAGCTGGGGCCGCAGCCCCGTTCCCAGCCCGCACCCTTCCCTCCGCCCGCTCCACCCGCGCTCACTCGCCGCAGTTCATCGCGTCCCGTCCGCTCCCTCCACCGGCGGCGCCGCGCGATCAATGGAGCCGTGGAAGCGCCCACGGCCGGGACACCCCACGGCTGTCGCGGCAGCCAATAGGCGTCGGGAACGCGCTTCGGATCGGCCAATGAGAGTCTGGGCTGCCTCTCCGCCCCTCCCCCCCCAGCTCCCCCGGCACAGCGGCGCCACCGCCCGCCCGTGGCGGCTCCGCACGCTGGGAGCCCCGCAGCCGGACCGCGTCCCCCAGCCACGAGAAGCTACAGGAAGAAAAGTTCGCTCCTCTTTAGCGTTGAGAGGTTTGAACTGTTTTCATGCGTTTTTTCATGCTTCTTTCTTCAAGCGCTTACTCTGAAACAACCATTTCCACGGTGTCTAAAAGCACAGAAAATCCCAGACTCCGGACTCACTCTGTATCACAGAACGGCCAGGGTTGGAAGGGAGCTCAAGGATCACGAAGCTCCAACCCCCTGCCGCACGCAGGGCCACCAACCTCCACATTCAATACCAGCCCAGGCTGCCCAGGGCCCCATCCAACCCGGCCTTGAACACCTCCAGGGATGGATGGGGCATCACAGCCTCTCTGGGCAGCTGTTCAGCCCCTCACCGCTCTCACAGCACACAACTTCCCTCTGACATCCAAGCTCAATCTCCCCTCCCTCAACTTCAAACCATTTCCCCTTGTCCTGCTGTCATCTCCCCTTTCCAAGAGTTGATTCCCCTCCTGTCTGCAGGCTCCCTTTAGGTCCTGCAGGCTGCCATGAGGTCACCCCACAGCCTTCTTTACTCAAGCCCAGCTCCCTTAGCCTGTCTTCATAGGTGCTTCGTATCAAAACCCAATTTAGAAGCTTCTTACCCCTCTGCACTGACAAACAGGGTGCTGTGATGTCCCTGACACTCACATTCAAAATCACCTTCACTGTTTAGCTCACATGTGACTCCTTGATAGAAAAGACTGTCACCTAAGTCAGATCACCCCTGCCCTGTACTACCTGCTAATCTCTCCAGAGCTGTCTAGCCATTTAGGTTAAGCAGACCTGATTTTTCCTGCTGACAGCACAGATCTTGATCAGCTCATGACACAACCCATCTATCAGTATTTATACACAGCTTTCCATTGCCACTGCTTCAGCACAGAGTGAGAAGCAGCATCTTGCATTGAAGGGGTGGAAGCAAACATGAGTCGTGCGTGTGGCTGGGAGAAGCCTAGAGTTCAGCCCTGACCTCAGTCCATAAAATACATCAGGAAAAAAAAAAAACAAAACAGAGAGCCAAAGCTGTACTCTCCCCTACAAGGATGTGTGGCACTCAGGTCACTGCTGGTCAGACACTCCTGCATGGGGAGGAGCACAACAGAACACACTGGGGGTAACCAGGATCCAGATACACTTGTATGGCAGGGCCTGCAGGAAGGGGTGGTGGAGGACAAGCCACATTGTATTCACCCCCTGCAACAGCTAACTGTGGCTGCACCTGCCCAAATTCCAAACCCAAACAACATCTCCCAGAGGCATGGCAGCAAATTGACTTTTTTTGGCTTTTTTTTTTTTTTTTTTTTTACAGAACTAAAGGCTATTCCTCAGGTTTTCATAACCTGTCTGCTTCTGGACCTTCGACTACTCAAAACCTTTCCAGCAGAATTCCCAACTGGTTCCTCGCATCAGCTTTAAGCCAGATATTTCTCAGTTCTGGGAAAGACTGTCACACAGCAGCACAGCAGGGTGACCCAGGGTAGTGAAAGAGAAAGCCCACATGAAAATATGCTTGGGTCTCCACGCACTGCTGTGATGGATTGCACAGCAGGAACTGCACAGGTTTGCATGTGTGGTCACATATAGTGCAGGCAATTTGTTAGTTCTCACCTGTTGCTTTCTGAGAACCATTCCTTCCTCATATTCTCTCAGGCTGACAGCATGCATTCCCCTTCAGTGACTTGAGGGAGTCAACAGTGATATGGAAGAGGGTTCCTACTAATTTAAGTACTTACTCCACATTTCTCCTGCCCTCAGGAGAGCAGATCTGGCTTCAACTGTGAAATCACAACTCACAACCAGTGCCTTCCCTGTGACCTCTTTCACCATCCATCCACTTTGCATTTAGAGCTCACTGCACAGCAAACCCAAGTTATCAACACCTTGGAAGGCACAGAGAACAGGCATTGGATTGGACATTCCAGTCCAATCTCTACTGCAGCCCCTAGAGAGGCTGCTCCCACTCTCATCACAGGCACAGACTAAGGTGGATGAATGAGTCTTCCCCTCCATCTGACAATACAAGCCAAAAGCATCTCTTCCTTGACAGAGTTGCAGATGTTTCCCCTTCCTCCAATGCAGATGAGGCAACAGAAGCACTGTGTCAGCAGTGAAACGTTATCCAGTCCCATAGGTATCTCAGGTATTCAGTCATGGAAGGACACAAAAAGCATTTTCAGATAGGCTGAAACTGAATCTCACTCTTAGCCTGACCGATTGCAGCCTAACAGCCACTCTGAAAAATCCTGCACAGCCTGCAGTAATTTTGCTGGCTCCAAGACTCCAGAGAGGAGCTGTGCTCAAGGTATTCTAGGAAAAATCAGCTCTGGTGAAGATTTGGCTTCTGGAACAGGGCATGGGGGCCTGATGGTCACACTGCAGCAGCCACGTGAGGTGCAGTAGCAGGGCAAGTACAAGCTGCCTGGACAACTGTTCAGCTAAACTAAATAGGGCTAAGGAGAAAGTCTTGCAGACATTCTCCAAGCAGCTCTTCTAGAGCATGTTTTTGCAGCAGCAGATTAAGAATGACTTTGACTGAGAGCTTTGTCACCTCTGAGAAGCTGCCTGAGCTGCAGGCATGAACAGGGTACAATCCAAAGCCCTTTCTTCAGGGCCGGGCAGAGGTGTGTGCTACTGATTCCTAAGGATTAAACACAACTTCCTCTTAACGTCTATACTTAAAAAAGAATCCACTTTATCTAAATGGATTCATTAGGAACACTATAAACCACACATGCAAAGCCACTTGCACTGCAAAATGCACTGCGTCACACCCTGCCTACCTGGCAGTGAAAGGGGAGCATCAGAGCAGCACCAGCCTGTTCCCCACAGAGTATGGTGCAAGGAAGGCCCTGTCCTGAAGGAAAGTGAGCCTGCCTGTCCACACACCTGACAGGTACCAGGCTGTACCAGCAGGGAATCAGGAAATGCAGGGCAAAAGGAGGTTTTGCCCAATGTAATCAACATGAAGGGACAGCTTGTCTCCCTTACCCCAGCATTTGTTTCAGCACAAAGCAACTGGGCAGTTTCCACCCTCAAAACTACAAGCAGGGAATGCAGCAGAACCCCACATTCTCTGGAAAGAGGATCTTCAGAGCACACGCAGCAGAAAGCTGCTTTATCCTGAGCCCATCATTACAGTTACTCCATTTTAGTGAAATTGGTCACCACAATTCTTAAACAAGGCATCCTACCAACCACACACTGAAGCTTTCCAGAATATGCCCTCTGCCCTGTCACTTTGCACTTGCTGCTGTTGATCCAAGTTTCCCTGCACCCGGGGCTGAATGCTCTGCTGCAGAAATCAAGGGCAGCATGCTGGTCTTACAAGAAGTAATGTGAATAGCACACAAAGCACAGGAGGCAAGGCAAAAATCAAGACGATTTCTGTTCTCACTCTGCAGCAAAAGACTGCTCTAGGAAAGCCCTGCCAAACTTGTGCTCCGTTACCATTCCAAGCAGCATGAAAGCACAAGCTTACAGAATTCCTCAGAGCTCTTCTAGTCCTCAGCTGCTGATCATGCAGACCCTGTTTGCCCTGGAGTTCACTGACAAAGGCAGCTTCAAACCTGAGGATTAGCTGTAACCGTGTTGTAATCTCCCTGAAGCCTGTCAGCCCAAAGAAGGGGGTCAGAAAAGGCCAGAAAAGCAGGAAAGCCTTTTATTCCCCTTGCAGGAGTTGATCAACATCCAGGAATTTCAAAAGGTGAAATGACAGCATTTAAATCTTCAGTGCAGAATCTGCTCTGATATTGGTTTTATGCAAAGCTTGTGCGTGTAACAAAACAGTGGAATGAAATACAAATTGCATGTGGGCATTATCAAGACCTACTAAATGTGAATCAGTTGCTTGGTGAAGAAATGTCAAATGCTGCTTGACATTTCCAAAGCTTCCATCACAACTGCAATGAGTCACAGCCTGATCAGAGAAAACATGGATGCCCAGGGCTCCTGCAGGCACTCATTCTTTGGACCATGCAAGAAAAGCCACTATCAGCACAAAGGCCTGGAAGCAATTCCAAATCCAGGCCTACAGTGCAGGCAAATCTGTGATACTTGAAATAGCAAAGGTAGATGTTTTATGAGAACAGTGCTACCATTGCCAGAACACCAGGAAGAAATAAAATCAGTGTAACTTCTCTCTAGACAAGTTAGAAGGCATTGTGGACAACTGTGTCCACACTGGGACAGAAGCTGCTTTGTTCATGGCAAGAACAAAGTTGATTCCATCTGCAAGGTAAATTCTGCCTTGAGATGTTCTAAAGGACAGACCTGCTGCTTGGCCTGCATAACTATCCTTCAAAGCAGACAAATCGAATACCTAAGCTCATGGCCATCTTCCAGGCAATACTTTGAGAAAGACAGAAGATAAAAAACTTGGTAAACTCTCCAACTTGCCTTCTTACTGCTGGTAACAAGCTGTTATTAATAAGCATCTCTCACATGAGCCTAGGGCTCTCCCCTGCTTGCTCACAACATTCTCTTTGCTCCGAGTTGCAGTTTCCATCCTTAATTTGCTCCTAATCCTTCCTGCTCCTCGCATGATAATCAAGATCTGCTCTGCCAGCAAATACCTTCATGTGTGTTCTTTGCTCAATGGATCATGTGGCAAAGGTGGTGCAGAAGAATCCCTCCAGTTCACCTCAGAGCAATTGGGCACTTGCACAACATCCAAGGTTGTACAGGCTGTGATGAGATCAAAGCTGATGGGGAAAGGTGGAGTTTACACAAGTTAACCACACCGTTCCATCAGCCAATTTTCACCTGATAGCCTAATTTAACAAACAACGCTAAACTGGGGCAAGAATGAACACACATATGTAAGGTTTAAAAAAGTGTATCCTTGCATTTACAAAGGCATTATTCGTCTCTGAAGATATAAGTGCTCTGTACACATCTGCTGTCAAACCAGTCTGAGATCTCAAGAAATGTTGTCTATGCTCATCCACCCCCTGGGACTCCAAAAGGACCATGGCAGGGCTCTGCCAAAGCCCTGTGAGTGCTGTGACTGCCCTCACTCAGCAAAGCTGGGAGAAAGGAGCCTGCCTGTATTCTAAGTGTGTCACGAGCAATCGAGATCTTGATTATATGGGGGGCAATAAACCCCTGGGAAACACAGAGGGGAAGATGCCTTGCTCGTTTACTTGAATCACAGAATGCTTTGGGTTGAAAAGGACCACGATGATCATTGAGTTTCAACTCCCTGCTGTGTGCAGGTCACCAACCAGCAGCCCAGGCTGCCCAGAGCCACATCCAGCCTGGCCTCGAATGCCTCCAGCGATGGGGCATTCACAACACTTGGGCAACCTGTTCCAGTGCCTCACCACCCTCTGTGTGAAAAACTTCCTCCAACATCCAACCTAAACCTCCCTTGTCTCAGTTTAAAACCATTCTCCCTTGCGTTACCACAATCCGCCCTTGTAAACAGCCATTTCCCTTCCTGTTTATATGCTCCCCTCACATACTGGAAGGCCACAGTGAGGTCTCCCTGGAGCCTTCTCTTCTCCAAGCTAAACAACCCCAGTTCCCTCAACCTTTTCTCATAGGAGAGCTGCTCCAGCCCTCTGACCATCTCAGTGACCGTCCTCTGGACCCACACCAAGATCTCCACATCCTTCCTGTACTGGGGGCCCCAGGCTTGGACGCAAAATGCTTTGAATGCTTTCAAAGATAAACCTTCCAGCCCTGCCGCTACCCTCAGCCATCCCTCTCCAAGCCTGTGGGGCACCCAGCCCAGCCCTGCTCTGCCCCCCATCACCACCACCTGGGCCTGGGCCATGACCAGGAGGCAGCACGACCCCACCTCAGCGCTCACCACTCGCTCAGATGAGCTGCACTGCTCCTGAGGCCACCAGAGGGGCAATGGTCTTGTAGCGGATCAGATGCTGTGAGCCCTCCTCCAGATCGATGGTGTACTCTCTGAAAGAGGCAGGTGCAAGGTGTTAAGCTGCTTTTGTGAAACAAGTCTTGTTCATATGCTTCGGGTGTGGAAGGACCACCTACCTCTGCTCATCAGTCTCTGGCTCAACCAGGATGTTCTCCTGCCTCTTCAGCACTCTCAAGAACACGAAAGAGTCCAGATTGGGTTTCGGGACTGCAGATACAACAGATTCAGAGCACAGACTCAACACTCACTCTTGTTTCTCTGCAGAATGCTCAGTGAAGTAGTATTAGGGGCAGCAAATGCATTGCCAACAAAGGGAATGCCAGACATTTCTGTTAAGCAGTAGTTTGCATTGACCCAGCTTAAGAAAAAAAAGCAGATGGAGGTGGCAAGCATGAGCACAGAGCTTTCTCCACACCTCATTTGCAGTAATTTTCCTGAGTGCTTGTAGTCTGCCTGTACTCACCCGATTTTAGGAGGGCTACTTTCTGCAGGTTGGGTGGCATGTGCTTTAGGGCTACATTTTTCAGATAAGTCTCAGTGTTTGCCATGTACCTGAAGAAAAAAAAAAATAACAAAACCCCACAACATTGGAGCATCCACTAATTAAGTCAACTGCAAATTTGCCTGGAGAGTATTTGCTCAAAAGTGCCAAAGGTGACACCTCCTGGTCATTCAGTTACAAGCAACCCACTGACAGAACTGGCTCAGATGCTAAGTATGCTACAGACTCAGAAAACTATTTCTTTCCTTGTCCATAATGAAAGCTAAACACCTGAATCTTACTGCAGACTTGTCTAAGGCTTAAGAACTGCTCAGTATAACAAAAGGGCAAGTTCTGTACCCCATGCAAAGGGAGGGAGATGGACTGAAAGCCCACTTACTCCTTAGCAAAGGCAAACTCCTCTGGTGATAGAATGGAAGGCTCTCCTTTGGCTCGAGATTTCTCCTTCTCCAGCACATGTGGGAAAAACTTCTCTATCTGTCATTGGAAGAAAAGAAAAAAAGAAAGAAAAGATTAAATCCCAACTTTCCCATAGTTCAGTGCCTAAAATCCACCAGACTTCCCTGACAAGCGATCTTTCCCTGAACAGTATACAGTAAACTCAGGCCTGCTCAAATACCTGCTGCTGACTTGGCAACACTATAGTCAGCTGGGGTCTTAAAGCTGCACAGATATATGTGTATGTGACAGGACCCAGGAGGATCACATACCTTGGCTTAGATTAAAAAAAAACATGCCATTATAACGGAACATCACAGCAATACTGTGAGTCTCCACAACAGAAAAGTGTGCCTATGGATTGAAATACTTTGGGAAGAGATCATTAAAACAGGCTAGGAATCACTCCTGAAATAAACCTTTTCTATGCTCCGTGCAGCATTACCTTCATAAGTCTACATCTCAAGTAACTACTGAGCACATAACGGATCCTTTCAATCTCCATGCGGTGGATGCTGACCTTCAAGTCTCCCTTCTTTGCCCGTTTTAGGTTTGCCTCCTGCAAAGAAAGGCAAAGGAAACTGAAAAGACTGAAACACCAAACAACAACAACAAAAAAAAAAAAAAAAAAAAAAAAAGAGAGAGAGAAAGACAACCATTTGACACACAAGGAAAATAAAAACTGACGGCGTTTCCCAGTGCTCTCCTCAGGAACGAGCACTGCACAGGCTCAGAAGAACATCCCCCATCTCTCCCCGCCCCGCAGCACGCACCATGTGGTCCAGCTGCTCCACCACGCACTCAATGATCTCAGGCTTGCACTCCAGCAGCTCGGGGGCAAATTTCTCGTTCAGCCAGGCCTAGGAGAAGGAACGCTGTGAGCAAAGGTGAAGAGAGCTCTTATCGTGCAGCGGGAGCCGGGACCCCGGCCCTGAGTCGCCCCTTTCCATCCAGCAGGCCCACAGGCCTCGCCATCAGCCTCCCCGCGCCTTCCACGGACAGCCCCAGCTGCCGATCGTCTAAAAGGCCTCCAGGAAGCCTCGATGCTCATCCCTGGACCGCACTACCTGCTCCAGGCTGCGGATGAGCTGTAGAGGGGTGAGCACCAGCTCCTCGCTACCATCATCCGAGTCCGGCTCCTCACCGCCCGCTGCCGCCATCCCAACAACCGCAGCTGCAATGCGCAGGCGCACCGCGTGACCCCGGATGTTCTTCTCTCCACAGGCGCTCAGCGTGACCCGGATGTTCCTCACTGTGCCGGCGCGCCGTGTGACCCGGATGTTTCCCACTGCGCCGGCGCGAAGAGCAAGAAAATGGCGGCCGCGGGTGTACTGCGGTGCAGCTCCGCTCGGCCTTATGAACGGGCTTTTACCCAGTCTCGCGCTAGGAAGAGAGGGCGTTTCAAAAACAGCGCTACTGAACATGACACAGACACAGTTTAAGAAAAGATTTACTGATCCATTAGTACTTCTGCCAGTATTGCAACAGACATGAAAGGCAACCACTGTTACAGTTTAGAAAAAACAAGTTTTATACAGTGAGAATATTCAATCTCAAAAAAGAAAACAAACAAACAAACAGAACCCAGTGGCTGAGGAACAAGCCTGGAATTTCAGACGCGGTAGCACCTACAGCACCACCAAAAGCCAAAAACATCACTTCTGTACAATTTCTCAGTTTCTAAGTTCTCGAAATCCTTCCACAATTGGATAATGGCACTCAGAACTGAAATCCAAACATCCTTTCCTTAAGGAACCGTGCTTTTAGGTATTGCTGAGGAATGTTAATGCACAAACATACAAAATAATGCACAGCTCTACTTCTCAATAGTGTGCCAGCAGACAAGAGTTAAGAAACCATCTCACACAACAGCTAAGTTTGTCGAATCAGCGTTTTCCTCTAAGTTATAATAAATTCATAAAGAAACAGTTTTACACTTCACATATTAATCAGAGTAGGGAAAGAGTTACGTTTATTGGTTCGGCATCCATTTTATTGTACTTCCTGTTTTATCCATGAATAGACTCCCTCTTCTGATCAGCACTGACAGACACAATAACAGCACATACACAGCAGTAGAAAAAACACTCAGAATAAAGTCCAGCTATTCCTCCCTCTCTTCTAGGAACAACCAAAACATTAAAACAAGAAACTCTTTGCCTTCTAGTTTTCCACAAGAATCAGCACACAATGCTTTAAAATGCTCGTTGCCTTGAGTCACTTCTCACCAGGAAGAGGCACCACGTATCCCCTCACTGAAATACTGAACCTGAGGGAAAGCCTTTCTTCTGGAAAATTCCATTCCACCTTGTAGGTTTCCAAAGCCCAATCGACGTACGGAAAGGTTTAAGAAGTAGGGAGGAACTGCACCACATTTACATGACTAGACTTCTGTCGGGCCAAAGCGGTTCTGTCAGAGGAGTACACAGCTTCACCACTTCTGGTTTTTCTTGAGAAACTTAAGAGAGATCTCACTGCTCAATAATTTGCCACAAAATGTATGCTGACCAGCTGGGTCACACCACGTGGAGTAGTTTTAGGAAGTCAGTCCCTGTAGAAAATGGCACTGTGGATCTGGCAGCAGAAAGAGGAATGATGCTCTAAAGTAGGAGGTAGGGGAACTGATACATCAAGTCCACTGTTGAGCTGTCTGCTAGAAAAGAAGTTACATGTCAGAATTGATTTCCAGGTAAAACAGAATCATAGAATTACTCAGGGATTCTTAACATGGGTTATAGCCTTGATTTCATAGATGCTTGAAACACAAAACCTTTTAAAACTTGCTTGCCACAAGATACCTCTAAAAACATTCAAAAAGAAAAGCTGCATCTTTCACAGCAGTACAGGAAGAACAGTTGCTAGCACAGTGCCACCAATGATTTTCTTAAGCATTTCTTCATCTCTTACATTATCAATCTGAAATTTGTTTAGAAAACCAAAATAAGCATTTAAATAGTGCTTTGTTTTAAAGTCGAGATTGAAGAGCAAAGTCTTATATTTGTCTGTTCAGAAACTTGTGCCAGAAAAACTTTGTGGAAATAGAAAAAAAAAAAAAAAAAAAAAAAAAATCAAAAGATCCTTTAAATACAGAAAGCCATTTTGGGCTTAACACAGTGCAAGTTAAGTTTATGCATATTTTACCAAACTCAAATCTTGACTGTTTAAAGTTAAATCTGCTGTTCTTTGAAGTGGCTTCACGTTCGGTAGCATAAAATTAATCACCTATATGGCTACACATTCAGAAAACCTACACCACCCAAGACTTCAGTAGAAAGCCACTGATTACACACAGAAGTTGGATAAATATTGTGTTTCAGCTGGAGAAAGTCTACCAGTCTGAGCACAAAAAGGAAAGCTGAGGTTGGCATCTACTGTGACGTTGATACGTACCTGAGACTCCACAGTTTTATCTTCCACTGCTCATGCCTCTGTCTTCATAAATGGTAATTTCAATCTGTGCAGAAAGGCTGTTAGGGAAATATACTATAAGAAGTTTACAAAAACACAAGTGAAAAATCATTAGGATATCAGAACGTTTGATCTTCCTGCTTCATAGCTGTTTCTTCCAAGATTAATTTCAGAGCTACAAAGCAAACAGAACAGCACATCTGCCTTGTCAGATGAGACCAGTCACCTATGCAGCTCAGGACTGTCCCAACAACAAGAACACAAAATTCTGCACACAAAGAGCTTGTGAACCTTGCCATCTTCTCCGAGATCTCAGGAAAAGCTACACAACAGACAGAAGTATAAATATCTGATTAAAGAACAACTCATAGCTGAGAGTGACCAAACCGATCATGTATTCCGCAGTATCACAGACCAAGCATGACCAGAGGATGCCATGTTAACAGAGACACAGGTTGCATATTGTAGACTGACAAATTAGGAAATAATCTTAGAAACCACTCAAGGATACAACTCTTAGTCCTCTTTCAATGGGGTCGGTCAGAAGGAGGCCCTGAGGAGCATAGATCTTCTCATTCTGTTCCTGAATGAACTTGGCAATTTTCTTTAGAACCTGATAGCAGAACAGAACAGAAGTTTATTAAATCAGGTTTCTTAATTAGGTTTCCCTATCTTAGAGCCATAGATAAGCAATACCACAAATATAACAACATTAGGAGAATGCAGCATGAGAGCACAAGTACCCACTAGAGACAGAAATTGCATTATTCCTCAATATACAGAAAATGTTACACTGCTCATATATCAGACAGACTTGCCACAGCATCAGAATCACAGAATGGCCAGAGTTGGAAGAGACCTCAAGGATCACGGAGCTCCAACCCCCTGCCGCACGCAGGGCCACCAACCTCCACATTTCACACCAGCCCAGGCTGCCCAGGGCTCCATCCAACCTGGCCTCCAACACCTCCAGGGATGGACGGGGCATCACAGCCTCTCTGGGCAGCTGTTCAGCCCCTCACTGCTCTCACAGCAAAGAACTTTTCCCTGACATCCAACCTCCAGCTGCCCTCCCTCCATTCAAACCGTTTCCCCTTGTCCTGCTGTCATCTCCCCTTTCCAAGAGTTTACTCCCCTCCTGTCTGCAGGCTCCCTTCAGGCACTGCAGGCTGCACTGAGGTCACCCCACAGCCTTCTTTTCTACATGCTGAACAAGCCCAGCACCCTCAGCCTGTCTTCGTAGTGGAGGTGCTGCAGCCCCCTTATCTTCGTGGTTCTCCTCTGTTAAGTCACCCTGCAGTAAGATCTAGAGTCTATGTGGAATTTATACAGTGATGGTGCAAATCACAGAAAACCTACCAGGACATAAATCACCTGAAGTCTGGAGGATATAGATCCTTTTAAGAAAGGAAAAGGAAACAAACCTACCTTTTCATAATGTGTTTCCATGCACAAGAAGATAGTATAGGCAGTCAGACAGGCCAGACACCCCTCAAGGTACGACTGGCCCCCAAGTTTCTCAGCTTCAGCATAAAGGTTATTCAGTGTTCGGACAGTCTCTTCAAACTGCTGCCTATCGATCTGAAAGAGAAATGAGATTTAGCCATCACACCCTTCACACTCCAGAACTCATCAATATCTTCTAATAACAGCCTTATTTCCACTTTCTCTGTCTTTCCTCACAGAAATATCACCTACTGACATTTTAAACAGCCGGTGCATTTAGAGCAAAGTCCAGAGGATGCTGTGAGTTACAGACCTCAAACTTCTTGTCAAAAATCTGCCCAGATCTGCGAATGCCAACACAACCTGAACGCAAAGCAATTAAATAACAACTGACTGCAATTCCACCAAGAGGAAAAACAACAAAAGCAGCTTACTTCATACACAACGGGCAGCTAGACTAAAAAAAAGGGCACGAAAAAGCAAACCAGGCAGCTCCAGAGATCAGCAGTAACTCCTCGCTGGCCGCTCAGACAAACTCCATAAAGCGACACAAAGCACAAAGGCGGGGCAGCATGAATAAAGCGCGGTTATCCGCTTTACCCGGTTCTCCAGCTCGGCTGGGAACTTGCTCTGGAATTGGCAGCGGGTCCCACCGCTGTAATCTCGCTGGATGAACACTTTGCCCGACACGGGCGCTTGCTGCGGCCTCATCGCACCGCGGCCGCCTCGCTCCGCTCCCGCGGGCGCCGCCGCTCGCTTTAGGCTACTCGCAAAGGCGTACGGTGAGCTCCGGGCCGGGAAAAAGGCGGAAGCGACGTTGTGCGCATGCGCTGTAGCCTCATCGGGCCCAGAGTGCGGCAGCGCGCATGCGCCCGCGCCACCACAAAACATAGCGGCGAGCCCACGCATGAGCACTCGCTGCCCGCTTCCTATTGGCTGCGCTGAAATTCCTTCACCAATCACAACTGAGGCACTACTCTCGTGACTTCTGCCAACGCCCCGCACGGATGGCGCCGCTCTGGTACACACCCCTTAACATACGCTGGCATGGTACGGCCCTGCTCCCCCTGCCTCGAAATCACGTGGCACAACCCGGCCCCGCCCACTCGCGGCCCCGTCCAATCCCGGGCCCCGCCCTCTCCTGGCCCCGCCCACTCCCGGCCCCGTGAATGCGCACGTGTGCGCTGAGCTGCGGGCTGCGAGGCGGGATGAAAACGGTCGTAGAATTTTACTCTGCGGTAATAAATGTTTTTTTGTTTTGTTTTTTACCAATTAAAAATGCCGTGGAAAAAAAATGAAAGGCAAAGTTAATTCAAACATTATCTGTGCGGGGGCATTTGT